AGACTATTGCTTACTTATAAAACCTTATCAACAGTAAATCGTTTAATCAAAATTACAGAAGTTCCTTAGAAAACATTCACTTTAATGAAATGTACGTTACATGTTGCCTATATCCCCATTTTCGCCCAGAACAAATGTAACGGAATCTCTATTTGACGTTAAACCTGCATATAACACGCCCATTACTATTAGGCATAACTGAAAGCAAACAAGTAAATAAAAATTAAATACACTGCCTGTCATGCCTACTAATTATTGTCGGCGACAAACAGTCCAGAAATAATCGTTTAAAGCATAACCAATCTTGGCTGTTTGCCTGCAACCTATGGTGGACTTCAGAAAACATATGGTAGCCTTTAAACAAGGCTAATGTCAGAAACCGGGTACTTTTGGATAAGCAGGTAAGGAAAATTTCAGTAACGTACATAACCAAATCAGTAATAAGGTTTCAGTCATCTTGTTAAACAAAACTAAATGCAGCACATCGGTGACAGTGAAGGATTTACTAACGGTCTGTTCACGTTGAAATATTTGACCGTGTTCCTGTTAATGGATATGTGAATTATATCAATATACCTCTGTAAATACTCTAGCATGTCAATGTTGAAGGTTTTTGTGTTCGCTTATTTTCATACATGACAACAATTATACCACTTTACTGGTTATAATTCAGATGATTAGGCTTTTGTACACGTGGCAACGAAAGGAGGAATTGCGTCACAGCTGTCTCTGTGGGGTGTCATTTCCCACAAGTAAAGGTTTCCGTGTTTGCTAAATACACCAAAGACCCTCACCTATACAATATCCTGGGTTATTGCCCTAAGGATGAAATAGATATCAAACCGTATTCTAGGGTCCCAACGGTAATATGGACGACCTCGACAAATTGTAACCTCTTTAACACTGAAATCCAACACCGTTGCAGAAATAAAATAGAAACGTATGAAAAAACATTGCTGAAAAACACTAGCATTCGGCACCTAAAAGTCCTAAATTTGTTACACGGCCAGGGTATGCGTTGTTTGGGCCCATTTGAATTCCTATTTCGGCCCCAAAAGAGATACCATCCCCCATACTACCTGGCATATAGCCCAGTAAATGATGATGTTACCTTTTGTCCATTGTGCAAGTGTGCTAGTACAAGGCATAATTATCATCCGATAGGCGAGGTGTCCGGATAAGCAGGGTTTCAATGTATTCTTGTTTTCAGTTCAATGATTCAAAATGATTCATTTAATTGAACAGTTTCTTGTAGGACGAGTGACCTTTAAAGCAACTGACGAAGACTGGGCGATAGCACCATAGCAAGGCCCTAGTATGGTGATGCTGTGTCGTACTATGTTGGAATAATGTAACGTTAAATATGAAAACTGACACGTTTTTGATTTGATGAAATGAAAGGGATGATACTATTTTACCTAATATTCTTTTCTGTTACATATTTATGACATTTTATGGCTAGACAATTTATTTCATTCAGTGGTCTATATTGGACTATAAAAATACCTATACTTTCTGGGATTTAGTGCTTCGCTTGATGCAAAGGTATGACTCCATCCATATATATCTGTGTGTTTGTGTGTGTGTGTGTGTGTGTGTGTGTGTGTGTGTGTGTGTGTGTGTGTGTGTGTGTGTGTGTGTGTGATTAATTATGTAGCTAAATATGTTCCTTCGAGATTGGCGCTTTTTCTGTTTTCAAATTTAGGCAAATTAACATTTGTCTTTCATGCCACGCGACTTCAGTGTGCATAATAGTTGAGTGAGTGAGTTAATATTTAACGTAACATCGGCAATATCTCAGCCATATCGTGACGAAAACAATTTATACAATATAAAGTGAAAACATTTTGAAGATTAAACCCTGTAAAAATACTAGAGAATCACAGATATGAATATTAAACTAGCGAGGAAAGCTAAAAAATCCCAACTAAAAAAGACAATACAGTATAAAACACGGGCTACAGATCGCCAACAACTGAAGGTAGATCACCATACTAGGAACCATGGGGACTTACATTACTTTTGCTACCTGCATCATAATAGTTGAGTGAATATAAACGATACAAACTACCTACATGCATAAAGAACAGTCGACCGTACAATTCCGACTATATTTTAAGCATTTGTTTTTTTTGTTTAACGCAGCATTCAGCAATTTTACAACTGTATGCCTGCGGTCTGTAAATACTCGACGCTGGACCAGACAATGCAGTGATTGACATCATGAGATAAGATAATAGGGCATCTGTTTATAAATTACTATCAAGAGTGATATGTCCAGGTGTTCGCGAAAAGGTGAGCGTTTCTGCCCCGCCGGTGGCAATGTAAATAAGCATGTACAAACTAAGGCTTGTCAATTGTTAGTCTATACGTCAGTACTGGGAATTGCATCGGACATTGTTTTTGTCACTGATGAGTCAAATTTGGAAATCTACTCCACTTGTTCACCATAAATGAGACCTAGAATGTTGTAACCCTGATCAAAATCTTTGAAATTTTGGAACAAAGAACATGTTGTACCTCAAAAGTTATGAAAGGTTAACTCCAAAAGGCTGGAGATGTTGGAATATTACTCGACATGAAGGGAAAGTTGAAGTATTTGAGAGACATGTTTTGGAAACTTGGAAAGTTTCTTTGAAGCATAACTGATGGGATGGCCATCTTGCAAAAGAACTCCCACTACGCCTTTCTTACTAGCATCTGTTTGTATTATGAATTGCGACGCCTCTGCACTAAAATCAGGATCTTTCAAAACAGGGTAAGACGTCAAGATCACCTTGAGCCTATCAAAAGATTCCTGATGTGGCGACTTCCAACAGTAGACACGCTTTTCAACAACGGGGCGGTGGGGGTATCCTAATGGTTAAAGCTTTGGCTCGTCACCGGAAACCTTGATCCAGCCACATAGAACACCTGATCCGTTCAAAACTTAACTACGGCTACATCGTTTATGGTGGAGCTTGTAAAAACAAATTAAAACTATTGGATCCAATCATCATCAGCCCCTAAAGCTTTGCCATAGAGCTGTAGAACATCCTCAATTCATAGTTTGTATGTGGAGGCTGATGAGCCGTCCCTGAAACAACGTCGAATTCAATTATCCCTGCAGTATGTTTTGAAATTACGTTCTACAAAATCCAATCCAGCACATGACTGTATTTTTAATCCTCTTTATAAAGAACTCTTCTCTAAAAGATCTCTTATTCCGCCAGTCGGAAAACGAATACAGTCTGACATTTTTCCTTCTAAAATAAATCTTGAAATTGTAGCCCCCACCAGAACATTGTCTTCTTCACCTTGGCAGTTAGTACAGCCAGAGGTGGATCTAACTTTAACAAACTAGAGAAACACATATGATACGTACAAATCTATTTTTGACGATGGATCCAAAGACGGTGATGTAGTCGCCAGTGCAACCGTCATTGGGTCCAGGACTAGTCCAGAACTTCCGGATCATTCTTTACATTCCATATATGGCAAGTGTTATCTGTTTGGAAGCTGTTCGCCTCGAAATTTCAATTATCGATTTCAGGCAAGTCGTAAGGGATAATGAGTCTTTTATTGAATCAATAGGGAAATAAATTGAGTGCATATGCCCCAATATACATGATATAGGCCAAAATATTGTCGGAAATGTGTGACATTGTGCCTTTGATTACTAATTATGTACAAAACGACTTGAATTATTGAACAACGTCAGTACAAACTAATAGCCAGTCTTGACTAACCTCAGAAACAAATTCCGTTACAAAATTATATGCATGCATCACTGACAATCCGTGATGAGATCAGGTGTTTGCCCGGTAATGGCTGAAGAACTGCTTAATGATGCATATCTATAGCTACTGCCTTTTTTCTGAGTATGTGTACAATTTAATTCTAATATTAACTCAACCTTGCCTACATGGAAAGATATATTTCCTTACTACAGATGGTGTACCATTGTTGTCAAACTGTGATTTTTTTTGTATCGCATTGTCTTTGTTATGAGACAATTCAAAGAAATGAAGTTTATTTCTGTAAATGTGAAAGTACTTTGCATGTTCATCTGAACTGAACGTGAACTTATGTTAACTAAAGGAATTAGAAATATAGTTATTACAGGTGTATTCCTTATCCCCTATTTCTGTGAGCTTAGAATTATTCTTGATATTTCACCAATGAAAAATGATACATTTAGATGGTATAATAATCTTGTTTAGATTCACGGCTCAGCACAGTTTACTAAAATATGGAAATTATTTTTAGTAAAAATACTCATTTTCCTTGCAAGCAGAAAGGGCAAGACCTTCTTGTAACAGTGCTTTTATTAATATTGCCTGAAAACTAAATCTCATTACAATTCATGTCATCATGTTTAATAAATATCATTATATGTTAAATGTTCATTTGTTCCATGTTGTCTGAGTCTTGCCGTTGAATGCCGCCTCTATACATCTTCACCTTTTCCTTCTGTTTCCTGGATTTCCCGTCACTTCCTCTCTATTCTTAGCCAAATAACCCATTCTTTTGGATTTTCCCTTTTCTATTCATAGGTCACATCAGAGACTTCCTTTGATGAGTTACCTACTTCCTAATTGGCTATTGTGTCGTCTTGAGCAGCAGCCTAGAGCCGAACCAAACAAACACGGCTACATTCTGTATTGACAATGTCATTAGGGGTATTAAAGATATTTATATAATACATGTAAAATACTTGTTTTTAAAGGAAATGGCTTCCACTGTCTAATGTCTTCGAACAGATGTGCCTGATAGTTATAATATCAAAGAAATAGATATATGAAGAAATATTATTTACACCCTGAAACTCCGAAACTCGCTAGAAATTAGTAAGATGTAGAATGAAGACTGCAAAAAGCCGATGACTTCAAACAACATAAGCAAGTTGAAATCTTAACCACGAATGCATTCTCAGAATATAACGAAAGGCATATGACTGTACCACCTCTCTCTTTATTCAAGCTCTGTGGCTGTACAGGGGAAGACATACTTGGATCACCATGTCGCAAGACGGGAGGTATCCAGAGACTGACCAGGAGGAACAGAAGAGAGAAGTTTGGACAAACAAGCGAGAGTATATTTTGTCTCAAGTAGGTTTTGCTGTTGGGCTTGGAACTTTCTGGAGATTTCCCTACCTCTGCAACAGAAACGGCGGAGGTGTGTATATTTTATAACAGTCGCGACTACAAGCACCGGGAAATGACTGTCAAACATGCTATAAAAAGACCTGCTTGACAACGATACAAGAATCTGTATGGAAACATCACCTAAATAAAGAAGTTGTTCATCCATAAAGTTTGTCCTATCCGACTCTCCAACTTCCAGAAATGCCAAAATTCATAAATTGCTTGTTTCTGCAAATGGCAGTCTTAAACCCATGCATAACTGTTCTAAGTTCATGCCGAAACATTTATTCCATGGCAATAGTTATAATCTTTCAACCAAACCGTCTGTTTTGGTAATGGTTAACGAACAATATGAAATTAAAGTTTGCATTTCCTTCATTACAGGTGCATTCCTCATCCCTTATTTCTGTGGAATATTTCTTTGCGCAGTTCCTCTCTTCTTTCTCGAGGTGTCCATTGGCCAGTTCTCCAGCAGAAGCGCTGCTCATGTCTGGGACATGTGCCCGTTGTTTAAAGGTCAGGATTACTCTCTTATCCGGACCAAAGAGTAATTTACAATGTATGATGATGGATTTGTCGTTGATTATACGAACAGATTTACATATGTTAGTACGGCCTGTCTTTACCAAAGTTCTCAAAGAAGATCAGCTGAAGCCAAAGACTTACTCAGGTAGAATTACTACAGACACATAGTAGTTGCACTTCTGACCTGTGTCATGGTGTCGATAACAACAAAACATGGTTTCAAAACTCATCGGTAATTGTTGTAACCCCGTGGACATTTCCATTGAAATGTTTCACATTGGCAAGCAGCCACTGCTGGTCGTACCAGTAGACCAAACTGATCGGGTAGTCAGGCTAGATTAACGCGAGTCATAGTACACCATGGGCATGTTGTTCAATGGGTGCTGAGTGAGTGAGTGAGTGAGTGAGTTTAGTTTTACGCCGCACTCAGCAATATTCCAGCTATATGGCGGCGGTCTGTACATAATCAGGTTTGGTCCAGACAAACCCCTGATCAACAGCACGAGCATCGATCTGCGAAACAGGGAACCGATGACATGTGTTAACCAAGTTAGCGAGCCTGACCACCCGATCCCGTTAGTCGCCTCTTACGACAAGCATGGGTTACCGAAGATCAATATTCTAACGTAGACCTTCACGGGTCCAATGGGTGCTGAACTATGGGTAAATATATACACTGGTGTGGAGAGTTCCGTGTGTAATATAATTTCCAATATAAAGAAAACATTAATTTAAACATTAATGCGCATTTGTTTTGTTTTATGTGATCACATAAAGGTGAGGTGAAATGGGGTTAAACGTCGTACTTAAGAATATTTCGCTGATATGACGACGTGCATGCATGTGTATGTGTGACCGCGTGTACAAGCCCAGACTTAAACTGGTTTTAGTGTGCTAACTCACTGAGATACCATACCGCAGGTAAGCATGAATACCCCACTCAAACACATTATACTGACTCGCCCGACCAGTCCTTGTTTTACCCATTAATGCCAAGCGCCAGGCAGGGAACAGCAAGTACCATATTTTAACGTCCTTTGGTATGGCGGGGATCAAATCCGCGACCTTCCGCTCTCCGGGCGGACGCTCTAACCACTACACCACGGAGTCGGTATAAGATAATTTGTCGAGGTGTAAATGACACCCCTCGTGTCACAATGAGATCATTCCTCACAGCTGTCTTGAATTTTCAGGCATTGGCATCTCACAGGCCTTAGTGTGTTTCATCAGTTCCATTTCCTACAATCTGATTATTGTGTGGACCCTGTACTATCTGTATCAATCATTTTGGCCCATGTTACCTTGGACCACTTGCAACAACTGGTGGAATACGGCTCTATGCACTGATGATATCGGCAGTAACACAACTTACAACGACAGCAATTACCGGTTGATGAATGACCCCAGAATCATCGCTCCGTGGAGAAAACCGAACGAGACATTGACAGCAGCTGAAGAATTTTGGCAGTTAGTCTAAATGTGTTTTTCTACATTAGATGGACATAATCCGTCATTTGTTCAGGAATGACAACCAAAGTAGACATATTCATGCATTCTGGCGCTGGTACCATAGTAATATGCACAGTGTGTGAAGCCCATTTCTGGTGTCCCCCGCCGTGATATTGCTGGAATATTGCTAAAAGCGGCGTAAAACTGAACTCACTCACTCACTTACTATGAGATGTACACGTTGCACTCGCAGGTACATTTGTAATTTCTGTCATTACAAAATTGATTCGAGAAAACTAATTCGATTTATCCAGTTGGCCTTGTCAGACGTCAGGTGATGATATTTGTTATAGAATTTCGTCGTGTTTTAATTCCAAAGCGTCTTTGAAACCATTTAGTAATATTTCTTAACACAGGAAAGCTGCAGGAAAGCTGAATGCATTGTTTAATGTTTTCTTGAAAAAGAGGAAATGTTAAATAAGAACTAAAACCCTATGATTTCCATCTGCAGATACAATGCTATAAGGGTTTCCGATGGCGTTGAAACATTAGGTTCTGTCCAGACCCACCTGCTTCTGTGCTCCATTGTTTCCTGGGCGATCTTGTTCCTCTGTATGATGTCGGGAGTCAAATCAGTTGGTAAAGTAAGTGTCATATTGTTGTACTATAGGCCATAAAAGGCTGCCTAGTGGCTACAGCCATCGCAGCATCGATCCTCCCCATGTGTATATATAACGTTGTTCAGTAGAAAGACCACAGACCCATGTACAATGTGTAATGCAATACAATACAATACAAAAGGAATTATATGCACAATAACTAGAACATATTTTTATATATTTACAATAATAATGCGCCACGTCGCGTAAGCCCTTCCTTAATATAATTTGTATACATATACAAATACTTGCTATTTTCATTTTGAAGAAGGCGAATGAGAGAATTTCTTTAAGTCAATATTTAAAATATATACTATCCCAAAAAAGAAACGCATAGGCGTTTTGTAATTTGAAAAATCTATTAATTACCAATTGTGTTCAAACAATCGTCAAAATATGTAACAAAACTGTTGATAACATGATTTTAAGCTATGATACAAGTAAAAAGTCGACTTTACCTGAAAATGTTGATTTTGATTAGATTTCTTACAAGAAATAAAAAGGCATCGCCACAAAGCAACAGAAATCACCTTCCAGTTGAAACTGAGCAGCAAAGAGCATGCTCTGTCTGGCTATAAAATAATCCAGATTACTTTCGGAAATCGGGATTCGTTTTGAAGGAGTTTCAAGGTCAAATCACTTCGCCACGTCTTGACGCTGCGACACGGAAAATCAACATTGAAAGAATGCACGCTGGAGATTACCAATTTTCTGTTGCCAGGCGTCTGAGTGTTAGTCTGAGCACGATATCAATGCTTGCCGCTCGTTACAACCAAACAGGTATAACAAATGACCGTCCCCGTATAGGCTGACATCGAGTCACCACTGCAGCCCAAGATCTTTACATCCGGGTACTACATTTGCGTGATCGTACTGCCACGGGTGAGAGCACAACAGCCAGGGTGTCTGGACTTCGGAGGATATCCGGTCAAACGGTACGGAACAGGTTGAGAGAGATTAGATTGAGAGCCAGGAGACTCGACGTCTGGACCATGCTACGTGGTCACCATCGCGCTCAACGTCTCTGTTATCTAAAATCATTCACTTGGTTGTATAGAAACTACCTTCTTCTAAACTGATGGAAAACGTCATGTACTAAAGTCGTGGACGAGTTATACATGTTTGAAAATACAACATTTTCGCAACAGATTTCTGGGTTTTGCGTTTCTTTTTTGGAATAGTATATCTTGTTCTTAAATCATTATATAGTGGGCAAATAAACATAAAATGAACCTTATCTTTTAAATTGTTCTCCTCATGGGTTATACGAGAAGCCAATTTATGGTGTGCACTCGTTATTTGCTCCAAGTGTAAATTATACACATTCATTCCCTCAATTACAGGTAAATATTGCTGCTGTGACGTTAACAAATAACTCACTCACTCAATTACAGGTCATATTGTGTCCAGAGACCACCGTGCCATTAAATGTGAGCACAGTAATACCTGAAAACATGGTAAAAGTTCACAGTTATATTACTAGAAGCTAACTGTAATTACATACGAGCTATCTAAGGGATCACAACCAACAAAGATCGCTGATTTACAAAGCATGAGAAAATATACATGTTGATTAGCAGCAACAGTATAACCGATGTTGCCAAATATAGCTAACTCCTCTATCTTATTAAGTCAACTGAGTCCATTTGTTACCTTGGGGTTATTGACCGCCTCCGTGGTGTAGTGGCTAGAGCGTCCGCCTGGAACGCGGAAGGTCGCGGGTTCGATCCCCCACCGCGTCATACCAAAAGACGTTAACATATGGTACCTGCCTGGCGCTCGGCATTAATGGGTACAACAAGGACTGGTCGGCTCGGAGTCAGTATAATGTGTCTGAGTGGGGTATTCATGCATCACTGGGCATGGTATCTCAGTGGGCTAGCACTATATAACCAGCTTCAGTCTGGCCTAGTACAAGCAGCCGCACATACACATACACACGCATGCACGTCGTCATATGAGCGAAATATTCTCAAGTACGACGTTAAACCCAATTTCACCTCACCTCACCTTGGGGTTATTGCATACCGATGGTGTAAAGCGTTGTTACTAATATCGATCACTGTTTTTTCTGGTTTCGACTATTTACATTCCGCAATGATAATGTTTTGTGTGAAGTTGAAAATACATGCAATATAGATTCTAGATCAGAAGCCTATCGTGGCAATCATCTTGTATAATTCTGCAAAATCGAAATCATTCTGCCGCCTTTCTTCACAAAAAGGAAGCACACTTGCGATTATTAGAAGGCTCTTTTTGTTTATTCATGACAAAGTCAATATAAGTGCAGTATTTATTATTGAACGATGTCAGTAACATGTAAACTGGTGTAGTGCACAAATCGTTTGAAACTTTCGTAGCTTCATACCACAAAAGGACTTATTTAGTCAGTGCCACCGCCATATAGCTGGAATATTGCTGAGTGCGGCGTATAATTAAACTTACTCACTCACTAGACAGTGCCATGGAGGTGCAGAGAAGGGATGACAGGTCACGGTGGTCACATCAGGACGCCTCCACTCTTGTGGTGTGACATGACAATATTCACCATTATGTTCAGAGAACATCTGACTATTACCACGGTAAGTTTCATAACATAAGTGGAGGCCACAGGCATGGGTTTCATGGTTAATTCATGGTTGCTCTTTCGTCGACATGCATCAACTAAATGTGAAAATGTGGATGTCACCACTCTAATGAGCGTTCCTCAAAAAAAGAAGAAGATGACATCCACAAACTCTCGCCTTTATGTGTATCACTTCTAAATGCCGTTCAAAGACTGTATCTACTAAGTCAGCGAGCCTTAGTCGCCTCCTACGAGATGGTTTGCCGAAGACCAATTCTAACCCGGATCTCCACGGGTATAAACGATGGTTGATTACACTACAGGTAACAGAAAACCTATATGTTTACAGATAAATCTTCATGTTCCTTGCCCTGTACAGTGACGTAATCCTATATTGCAGGTAGTGTATGTGACGGCCGTGTTGCCATACATCCTGCTGACGGTGCTGCTGATAAGGTCGTGCATGATGCCGGGGTCGGTGGACGGCCTTCTGTATTTCCTTAGACCGGATTTTTCAAAACTACTGACAGTCCAGGTAACATTACCCGTAAGAAGAGTTTAGCAAAATGATTGTATAAGTTAGATTTCCAGTAGAAAATGTTGATTATTTAAACGTTAATTAAATGACAACATAATACATGTACATGTACATGAAAATAAATAAGACCACACACGGCTAATATGAAACGCTAAGAATGTACACATTTGCGATCAGGGCCCCGTTCCTCACAACGATCGTAGCTAAGATGATCGTAACTCCCATACTTTAACATAAACTTACGACTGTCGTAGCGCTACTATCGCTTTGAGGAACGGGGCCCTGGTCATCTTCTTCCACAAGTAGGGAGATGTTTGGTGGAAGGATGACTGCACAAACTGTCAGAAATCGCTTGCGTGTCGCTGGACTTCGCGCCCGAAGAGCCCATTATTGACAAACTTTAACGCCTTTTCATCGCCGAAACCGACTTGTGTGGGCCACAAGATACGTAAGGTTCAATCAAAGACAGTGGAATTCGGTTGTCTGCAGCGACGAATTCCGATTCACCTTGAGATTTGCCGGCGTCAGGGCCCGAGTGTACCGCAGGCGTCACGCTCAAGACGTCACGCGTCCATGAAGTGGACAGATTTAGTGGCGAAAGCATAATGGTATGGCACACGGACGTTCTCCTCTTGTTGTCGTTCGAGGGAAATTAAATGCTGCCCAATGCAGGGATTTTGCAACATGTCCTGCTTCCATTATGGAGAGACATGACCCTGGATTGACGTTTTAACAAGACAACGCTAGAAAGCATACGGCAATGCTTACACAGAATTTTCTACGAAATGCCGGTATTCAAGTTCTGGATTGGCCGTCGCGTAGCCCCGATCTCAATCCCATCGAACACATCTGAGGCGAGCTGGGTCGACGTGTTCGTAAGCAAGTCAATCCACCACAGACGTTGCAAGATCTTCAACGTCATCTTGTTGAACAATGGCGACGTCTTCCTTGGGGTGTGTTTTACTAACGTTCTAAGATCAATGAGGATACGTTGTGTGATTGTAAGAGACGCTAGTGGAGGTCACAACCCTTACTGAAGACCTCAACCGAATTGTTCTCCACGGTGTGAACTTCATTTTGGAGGGTACCTTGACATGAACGTTATCGTTGTTAAAGAGTTTCGGCAAGACTTTATTATTCGTTTTTTTTCCTTTGCTGTCAAGATGTTCTGTGCACAGCATACAGCTAAAAGTATTGTCTTTAACTAATATGGAAAACCTAGTCCAAAAAATCCTGAGTGTCACATTTTCAGTTTTGCTCAGTATATATTAATAAAGGTTAGGGTATCTGTTGGAATACAAGTTCGGCAAAATATTAGATTACGTATGCAGCGAAGCGTATGTCACTGAAAAGGTAACAATTACTTTGTCGAGAAATATGAAAACGCCGAATGGAAAATGGGAACTGTCGTTTAACATTTTCTTTACCTTTTGAAGTATTTTCTGTTAGTAAAGTAAGACGACGGGAATTATATTGTGTTGAGAACGTGTATAGAATACGTTGTAACACACACACACACACACACACACACACACACACACACACACACACACACACACACACACACACACACACACACACACACACACACACACACACACACACACACACACATAGTTAAAAGGGAAGTTTACGAAGGCAATAACTTTTGCATGTAGCGCAACCAAAATTAAAATCTTAATAGTTCTCCTACATTGGAAGAAGGCAATACAGTTTCACTTCTAATACATAGATTTAGAAACATAGATCATTCTTTTACAACGTGTTATGTACTTTCGCAAACACGCCTATATTCGTGTAAGTGTTTTTCATGGTGTGAACGTGGTCGGGGTAAAATGTGGATGTAGTGTGATAGTACATACGCCTTCTCCTTTGGACAAATGAAAATGGTTTCACTTCTAATAATTTTGTGGTGACGGAAGGTGTGGCTGGAGGCATTACTGCAGAGTTTCTATGCGATGAATACAACGTATGGCGGCCTCATCACAATGGGCAGTTTCAACTCCTTCAACAATAATTGTATCAGGTAATCAAATTCTACTCAGGATCAAACATTCAATAAATACATTATATGGCATAAATTTTGAAAATCAAAATGACTGAAAACATGTACATCAATACCTGCATTGTGCACTTTACTGTCGCTAAAATCAACAGAGACTGCTGGAATTTCAACTCATCACCAGGCACAATATGTAACAACATTTGATACTGATATTAATATGGCATGTATTTTCAACTTAAGGGATGTGGTGTTGGTAACAATCATTGGCCAGCTGAGCTGTATCTTCTGTGGCTTCACCGTCTTCTCTACTCTGGGCTTTATGGCTAATGAAGCTCAGGTACCCATTGCTGAAGTCGTATCCTCAGGTTCGTACGTCATTGATCTGATGCAATGCATATGCATGCACCTTCGTCTCCAAGGCTATTGATAACGTACTTTGTGATGAAAGTTTTAGTTACTATAGATTAGTGGTGTGTTGTAAACGCCAATGGAATAGAGGTTTTCTTGAACTTAATCCAGCGGGAAAGAGATTGAGCATTGCCCAATGTAAAATAAAACAATGTTGTTGAACACAACATATGATTATATGTTAGGTTTCCAGATGTGTTCACTGTTTATGTACCCTACCAACTACGCATCATGAATTGGGATAGTCCAGAGTATGCTGACACGCACGTCAATAACACACCTAATGTCAATGATTGTTGTGTGTAAGGTCAATAAAAGCGACCATACTGTTTCCATAGTCCTTCAAATCCACGTTGAAAGCAGTGACCAGAATACGACCTAATTGTGATGATATCAGATGGTCATCAAACGTATCCTGACCCATCGGTGACGTGTAATTGTCCTTGTTATTTTACCTTTTTCTTTGTATGTTCTTAAGGATCAGGGCTTGGGTTCATCATCTACCCTGAGGCTATATCCAAGCTGCCTTTATCCCAACTATGGGCTGTTCTGTTCTTCCTTACACTGCTCACCGTTGGGATTGACTCAATGGTAAAGTATAGGAACTAACAAATGTTTGTCTTTATGGTAACTCACCAGAACCATAAAATATACCGGTTTTCTCGTTGGTAAAGTACATGTATCAGCAACCAAAATGGCTGACTTCATGATAAAGTGTAGGAAGCATGAACTATACTAACTGGCCTCATCATGAAGTATTCGAGCCAACAAATATGTTGACTTCATCGTAACTTCTTTGAGAGGCATTTAGAAGTTGGAGTACTTCTTTATTACAGTGATAGAATCTTCAACGAACCGACATTCTCACTGTAATGAAGTAGTTGTTCATCCAAATGTTGTTATCCTTCCTGACTTCATCGTAGTTACGTATACGAACCAGCAAATGTATAGACTGACTCCATGGAACCTTCTTTGAGGGGCATTTTAGAGTGAGTGAGTGAGTTTAGTTTTACGCCGCACTCAATATTCCAGCTATATGGCGGCGGTCTGCAAATAATCGGATCTAGACCAGGCAATCCAGGGATCAACACCATGAGCATCGATCTACGCAAATGGAATACGACGACACGTGTAAATAAGTCAGCGAGTCTGACCACCAGATCCCGTTAGTCGCCTCTTACAACAAACATGGGTTACTGAAGATCAATTCTAACCCGGATCTTCACGGGTCTACGTTTAGAAGTTGTAAAGATGAAGGAAAACCAAGTTTTATGGATAGTCAACTTCTTTATTGCAATGAGTGCGACGTTTCGGTGTAGGTATAGTATGACCAGAAATTATTGAGAATTTTAGGAATATGTTTAATTGGATTTTTAGTATAAACAACCTTGACCAGCTATCAAGTGCTTGGTTTCATTCAACAGAGACAACTCCGTTAATCATTTTTCATTTTTGAAGAGTTATCCCCATTGTTTACTTGCTAGCAGACGACATTTTCAGTGATCCTCAGTATGGATGATTTAGAGAAGAGGAAGTTGATTTTTGAGTATTATAACAAGGACATCAGATCAGCTAAAGTGATTTCAAGTAGAACAGGCATCCCTTTGTCCACTGTTTATCGTGTTTTGAAAAATATTGCAAATGGATATGGCACTGAGCACCAGGGAGGCGCAGGTAGGCCCAGAAAATTGATTCTCGGTGACATGAGGCGGCTTGGTATTCTTGTTTCTAAAAACAAACGAAGGAGTTTAGAAAACTTAAGGCTGGATATGATTGATAGAGGAACTGTGGCTGTCTGTAAGGAGACAATTAGAACTGAGCTGCATGCAATGGGTTGGCAGAAAAGTCGAGGAATTCCATCACCGATCATGAAATCTGAACAAAAGGAGCGAAGGTTGAACTGGTGCTTACAGCATAGAAATATTAACTGGGACAATGTGATTTTCTCAGATGAAAGTTCTGTGTGGCTGTTTCCTAATACACTGAAATTCTGGACCAAACAAACTGAAAAACCTTTGTATCAGCGCCCAAAGTACAGTCCGAAGTTTAACGTGTGGGGTGGCATACCTGTGTTAGGGGCAACGCCCCTCTGTGTATTTGAAGGGAATATGAACAGTGAGCGGTACACAGATATTCTCGAGGGACATTTACTTCCATCTGCTCACGTGTTCTATGGAAAGTTTTGGATTTTCCAGCAGGACAACGACCCAAAACATCGTTCAAAGCATTCACAGGCCTGGTTTCGGACCCAAAATATGACATTATTAGATTGAACAAGCTATAGCCCTGACCTAAATCCAAAAGAAAATGTTTGGGGACTTATGAAGGAAAGCGTCAATAAGACAAATCTGACAAATATTGCTGAAATGAAAGAAGAGGTGGTCCGATATTGGGACAGCATGGACCACGACTTTCTAACTTCTTTGATCAGTAGTATGCCCCGCCGCATTGAAGCCTGCATTGCTGCCCATGGTGACTTGACAAAATACTGTCTTTGAATCTGGAGTTATGTTCTGCTAATATTCACATTTAATACGTGAGTAATGAGTGAAAAAAATAAAAAATGTACAATCTTTAAATTCTCAATAATTTCTGGTTGTACTGTACTAACACCGAAACGTCGCACTCATTGCAATAAAGTTGTCTATCCATAAAACTTGGTTTTCCTCCATGGAACCTGCAAATGTATTGCTTAAATTTGGTGTAACGAATTAGACAGTGGAAATCTCCTGAGTGGGAACAAGATAATACATTCATATGTAAGTATCACGTCATCAAGTCTATTGATTTAGCATGAGTGAATGTCACTTTGAAGGGCATTCACCCATAAAGTGACTTCTGAATAGAAATTACTGTCAGTAAGGTATGGAGACTTCATATGAAGCACACCAAGCTCGAGTAACGTTTTAGCGAAACATTTATAGTATTCAGGAAATGGTGGGATTTTATAAGTCTTGTAATACAACATATGATGATTCCCCAAGAGGCATGGCTCCCTCCCAGATGTATGCACATGAGGGTGTATTGTTGCATATACCACGATTGCATTTTCAAAATATATGCTTGTAGTCACTGGCCACTTTTTAATACATGAAAATATTACTTGTTATTGCAGTTTGGTACAGCTGAATGTGTAATCTCGGGTATTTTGGAAGCATCTCCAAAGTGGATTCAATCAAAACGAGTGCTGATAACACTGGTTGTATGTTTGGTTAGCTTTCTGATTACCATTCCCTTTGTTACTGAGGTAAGTAATACTGTACGGGGCCGATGTTCAGTTTGAATTATGTAAATGAAACGGTAACACCCGTTCAATGATATAAAGATTTATTTGCTGAAAACTATATACATTGTAAGATTTCCAACATATCCATAAGCATGTTCTTGTATGCATCAAATCGTGAACCTTAATCACTCATGAATCAACGATTCAGTTTTTAAAAACAGGTAATTATATTAGTTTGTACATGTTTTGATTATTCATGGATGTTCTGTTAGTGATAACTCCATACTTTAAATTTAGTCCCGAACTAGCATATTAATCCTCGGTTTGGTTTCTACCTTCAAAATTAATACTGCTGTCTTTGGATCAGTGTAAGAGAAAACGTACAATTATTTTTATATATCTAATCCACCAGTTCCGATGATAGACATATCTTACATCATGTACATTTACACTTGGATAATCTTGAGCTCCTAGTTGGTGAGTTTAGTTTTACGCCGCACTCAGCAATATAAAAGCTATATGGCGGCGGTCTGTAGAAAATCGAGTCTAGACCAGATAATCCAGTGCTCAACAGCTTGAGCATCGATCTACGGAATTGGGAACCGATGACATATGTCAATCAAGTCAGCGTGCCTGACCTTACGAAAAACATGGGTTGCTGAAGATAAATTGTAACCTGGATCTTCACGGGTCCTTGGGCTCCTGTTCCTTTGTAAGGTTGTCCAATGCGTGTGTTTTGTGAAATATAATGAGCTGATAGCTCAATGGATATGCAACTGAAACATTTCAGGGAGGAGTGTACCTCTTCCAGTTACTGGACTGGTACTCCTCATCCTTCAATGCGCTTCTGATTGGCTGTCTCGAATGTGTCGTCATCTACTGGATCTATGGTAAATGACCCCAAAGAATAAATATGTTTTCAGCTTAAAAGCAGTCTGAAATCGTGTTTATAGAGAGCAGCAGCAACTCCCCAGCATTGGCCTAGACTGCCTTATTCGTAACGTATTCATGTAAGGTGTTACCTTCGATCTGTAACATCACATTTGCTTCAATTTAAGTTTTCATGAAGCTAAAGTCGAAGGTCATTACACCGGAAGTCTTCATAAGCTTTCTTCCTTGCCCATATCTTAATATGTGATATGGTCAGCTGTCTAACGTTTCATGTATTGCACGAGATCTGTCTGTTCATATAGTCTGACCACAAACTATTAATATTTTCTCATGTTACTGTCCAGCAATCAGTTCCCAAGCGATTTGTGTTATAAAGCAGAAAAGGAAATGATATTTATGCAAGGATAAAAGGCACAACCTCACAGTCATTTGTGCTGCTTTTATGTTCCAGGTTCTGAGAGGTTCGGCAAGGATATCAAAACGATGCTGGGCCGTCGTCCTCCAACTTTGCTGAGACTTCTGCTGTCATATGTTACCCCAGGCATTCTCTTTGTACGCCATTTTGGTTTGTTCAAGCCTTCATGTTTAATCGTTTGTTTTTTTAACTCGACAACACTCCAGGTTTATGACGGGGCTATCACTGGTGTCTGGGCCATATAGTGATCCAGTGAATAGGATGACATACATGAACCTAGTCTGAATTGCTGAGGTTGCTGAGGAGGACCGGTTCTAACCCAAATCTTCACAGGGAAGTGTCTTGCATGACGCTATAGATGCAACAATGCTTACATGCTTACATCTCATCTCAGTTTGTCGCAGATTTTTCATATAGATTGGTTTTATCTCTTTCATTTCATTCTACGCTTCCCTTTAGATTTTTCGTCCCGTGAAGATCCGGGTTAGAATTGATCTTCAGTAACCCATGCTTGTCGCAAGAGGCGACTAACGGGATCGGGTGGTCAGGCTCGCTGACTTTGTTGGCACGTATCCCAATTGCGTAGATAGATGCTCATGCTGTTGGTCACTGGATCGTCTTGTCCAGGCTCTGTTATGTACAGACCGCCGCCATATAGCTGGAATTTTGTTGAGTGCGCCGTTTACCAGCAAACCAACCAACCAACCTTTAGTTTTACTATGATGCTTTAAGATTTCATATCTGCACCCGCTTTAACTTAGCAGCCATGAATAGATATGGATTGAGTATGTATGGTATTCCTTGCATGGTTATACCTTGTCTGTATGTCTGTTTGCAGGCTGCTCTCGTCGTTTCCTTGTTTGGGTACGATCCTCCCAGCTATGGCGAGTACATATATCCAGAGATTGCCAAAATAATGGGAATTCTCTTGGCAGTAGGATTTTCAGTACCAATACCTGTCATGTTTGTGTACGAGTGTCTCAGGAAGAAAGGAAGTATCTGTCAGGTAAAGTTTTCACTGCAAGGTTTTAACATACTTTCATGACACTCAATTCAATGGCAATACCTTACTGAATACTCACATTCCACGTATATTTGAAGAGTTGAGAAGCAAAACGACTTAAGTCCCCTTTTGGAGGTTTTCAGGAGAGACGAAAAACTGGTATCATTAGAACTACTGGGGAAAATTTTTTTATTTGTTAGACGTGCGTTGTTGGATAAAGTGCATCATGCTTTACTTCAATATTGTTTCATCAAATATTTTCAGAATTATGGAGGCAGAACTGATTATTGAATTTCCTTTTTCTGACAGAATGACCTAAGTCGAGGATATATTTCGTGGCAGAACCACTTAAGTGACGACTCATTTCAAGAAATAATACAATAATGACGACAAATATACAAAACATGATGTATGTAATAACTATACATGCTTCTGGTGATCGTTTGAGAGGAATATTGCGTTTTAAAACTATGTACCCTTTTCTGAAACTCATCTCAACCTTAGAGGATACTAGTAACGCATTTCCATTGGCTTACAGAATGCAGTACACCCGTCAGCCATCATAATGAGTGATAATATATCTCCATACTAGAATAATGATTCAAATGTATTCAAAGATAAAACATTCTGAACATCAAACCGTAATAAACAATTCATGCTTATCGATTATATTATCTGAAATTATAGGTATCACGACAAACGCTCACTTCATTCCTTCACAGTGATGAGACATACGCGGACAATAACCGGTCAAATTCTCGAGAGAGCTAAACACTATTATTTGGTGATAGGACATAGCTCTTAGACCAATTCAATACCTGCCCTAATACCTTACACCAAGAAGAATGTTTCTCTGTATAATACATCCATATACCCGCGGCGCTGTATATCTACCAGGCTCACTCAAGCACAGCCGTTGTGAATGTCATGGTGATCTGCTTCTTGAGTATTGTCAGGTGATATGATCTTGCCTGGTATATTTGCATATCTAACAGTATCCGACTGTCTCGCTGAATACATGTTTACACAGATATAACGTGTTATAGACACTCTTTGTACTCACAGATCAACAGCTGTCAGAATGATGAACCCGGCATGGACACAACTGTTATAAATGTAAGAAAACATTACATGAAACAAAATAAACAGACTACAATTCAGTACAATTACGAAAGTTATGGGTCTGAACCAGGCATATGCTCATACTTTTCAATCTAAAAACAAACGTAAGTGTTGATGATGCCCTGAAGTTATCAACTGTGTAATAATATCAGTAGAGCCTAAACATGTTTTGATACACTTTTATATGTTTCCTATCCTGCTTATTTGCCGAAAGTGATCATGCTAAAAATCACATCATCTGTACATATCAATATAAACCAATAGCTTGAACAATACTGAAACCTTTTGAACACACTGCTCCAAATAATTACATTTTATATCATGCCATCTTTAATGTAATGCTGAATGTAATTAATGTCAGCTCCACCTTGGATAAGGAAGCTTCAGAGAACCAGTTTTTCCAGTTTGTGAAAACGCTTTTGTCAGACCTATTCAGAGGCAGAACAATCTAATGTCTGAGTTAAATCATAGACCATGCATAATGAACATGCTGAGGTGACATTTCACCACAATGTAGATCTCAACCTGACGATTAGTGGGGTATTATCAGGTCAAAACAACCTAAGTCTCACTTAGGTCGTTCTGCTTCTCAACCTCTCATTCAATAATGCAATCCGTCTTACACTTTTATGTTTAGCAATATTGCCCACATTATATCACTACACGTTGCTGTTTGAAATTGGAGCATTTGGTGTACGTAATATGGTAGGGAGGACAGACGTCTTGATTGTTTCATTTCTTGTTCTTTCAATGAAAAATATAGATCACAACAAATCGACAAAAACGAATTTTCATTGAAAACATCAGACCTGAATATAATCATCCTCTACCAAATAGTTCCAGAGAAAGTAAGTTTAAAATGGGTTTTATTCGGTATAACTGAACGTCCTGTTAATGATCACGATGAACAATTTCAATTCAAAACATTGATTACACAACAGTCTCGTTTCCTGCTGACTGGGTTCCGTCCTATTGCGCAACTTAGTACAATAACCAGTCAAGAATATTTAAACCACTTCATTCAACTGGATACATAGATATTAATTAGTATTATTTCATACATCTAAGCACTTGTACATTGCAACAGTACACTCCTTCTGATCCTTGCAAACACGTCGTGCAGCGTGCTCTGTCGTACAGCGTGCTCTGACAAACAGAAATCTGGAAATCGTGGAAATCTCAAAACGAGGCTCTGCCGCTGGAAAAGTTTGGCGGTCTGGTACGGACTTGATATTATATCAATCACATTGGACGTTACGAAACTACACTTAATAAGCGCAAAGAACACATATCAGGTGTAACTAGTGAGCCAGTAGTATACACAATGGGACTACGGGACCAGGTCCCCCCTAATGGCTCTACTTTTAAACTGAGCCCTTGAGGAGTCCCTAATCCCGTAGCTCCATTGTGTATACTATTACTGAGGTGCATGCAAAATCTAATGAAAATCGGTTGAATAGTTTCTGAAATATTGACTTGTAAGTGAGCATGGGGTCAGTCGCAAAAAGGCAAAATATCCAACTTTTTGTCGTAATTAAGTCTTAATTAATCTAATGAAGTCATCGAGAGTGTTCCCAATGCCGTTTTGCTATAGCGTAACCATCTGCCGAGATGCATGCAAAATTTCACGAAAATCGGTCTGGCGAAACGTATTATCCAACGTATTATCGAGGCGAGAGGTGTTTTTAGCTGAATGAAACGCAGGTCTCGGAAGTCATCATCTCGCTACTGTCTCGGGGGTTGCTTTGAGCGAGCGCCGTGGACGAGTATAAGTGTGTGTGTGTGTCTCGGCTCGGCTATTATTCACCATGTGCAGCTCGCTGTAGAGCTGGCTGGCCACATAGCATACCACAACCTAATAGCACATGCAAATAATCATGAGAATTATCATACAGTGGGCGATCTAAAAGGGAGGTACGATCATCAACTTCTCTCTGACGAATGCTCTCGGCGGTCCGTCTTTCAAGTAGTACAAGTTCGGTTCGCCATCTTTGATGTCGACAAGGTCTACGTTGTATGTTTTCATGGACCATATCTGATCGGTGGCGCGTTTTCTGCTGTCTCCCTCGTATTCTCCCGGCTGGTACAAGTACCTAACGCTGACCCGGTCCGGTAATGTTTTCTCTGCTTTATCGTGACGTGCCGCTGCCGACGACGATTCAACAGATTTCATTTTGATGGCTTTGACGGGTCTCTTGCCCACGAGTCTGGTGACTTCGTTGTTGATGGCATCCACCACTCGCGGTAAGCGTACGACCCATTCCGTGTTTCTGTTTTTTGGGATCCATTAAATCCTGCGACTACTGATATGAGAACAGACGTTCGTCTAAGGTGCGATTGAATCTTTGAACTATGGCTTGGCTTCGGTGAGCTCCCACCACTCATCGTCTCACCTGGACTTTGTGCTTAGACAGCAGTTGTGACACGGCTTCCATGAACTCGCGTCCGGGATCGATTTGCAACACGGCAGGCCAGGTCAAGCGACTGCGTTTGTATATGCATTCTAAGGCTTTGGCGACTTCGTTCGAATCTTTGGTCATCAACGGTTCGGCTTCCTTGTAGCGACTGGCAACGTTGACGACTGTCAGGGCGTACTTGTAGGTTTTACGCCTCACCCTGTCGTGAGGTAGAAACAGGACGTCGGCTTGGTGAACACGATTCGGCGTTGAAATGTCGAATTTTCTTCTCGGGATGTACCGAGGCCCCAAGCTTTGATGACGTCTTCCGAGACTCTAGCGGCTTTGGCGAGTTTCGGGATGGCGTCTGCGCCTTTCCAGTGCCTGCGTTGGCTGTAATAAATTTTCTCCATGATGTATGTACTGCGTGCGTTTTAATTATTCAATATGTACGTGTGTCCGTACGGGTAAGTGGTGAGTCCATCGATGGCGATCCATCGTTTCGTGTCCATGGGAGACAGCGACGTCTTGTTGATTCTCAGTCCGTATATCCTGTGTCCGTCGCTTCTCAGCATGTTCATCTGGTATTTTAACTTTTTATTCTTGAACAGCGCTTCCTTGAATCTGGCGTGCTTGATGTGTTTTTTCACAACGTGTTTTTTCATGCCTTTTGCCTTTCTGATTTCATCGTTGTCTGCTTCCTTGATGGAATACATCTTGGGTCTCAAGCCGACGTACTCCGCGATTGGCGTGCCAGCGCATTCGTCCTTCATCTTGCCGAGCACTTTTTAGTTGACTTGGCTGTACAAAGGGTGATCTTTATGGTGTCGTACAGGTGCATGTGTTTCTTCATGTCCTCGTACATGTCCTTGGTGTGAATTTCCATCAGCAGGGAATCCGTGTCCGTGTACAGCACTTCGCACTTGTCGCTGTACTGTTTCTTCAGCTCGTTGTAGTTAAAATCGTACATCATGTGTCTGCATAAGTCGATGATGCTCATCCCCACGTAAACGGGCCGGTTGAATCTGATGTGGATTTTGTTCATGTGCAGTGCTGCGAAGTCGTTGTCGAATATCTTGCTTCGGTTGAATGCCGGGCTGGCTATGAGTTTCCTGAGGTTTTCTTCCTCGCTGGATCTGACTTAGTTCACGTTAACGCGTTTTCTCAAATTCTCCATCGTCTTGCCGAACACCGAGTTGTTCATGAGCTTGTACAAGTTTTTTTTCGAAGTCGCTCGTGGATTGTTTTCGCAGATTCGAGTTCAACCAAATGTAAGGTTCCATCCATGCACTTTGATCGAACTCGAGCACCCTGTGAATTTTCGTGTGTTTCATTCCAAGCGACAAGTACAGCTGCAGGTTATGATAGTGAACGACATACTTTGTCTTGTTTATCAAGTTCGGCATGAGGTTTTTGAGGTTAGCCAGCTTATTGTCTCCAAGCAAGTTTCGTTGATATTCAGACATCCAGTCTGGGTTCACCGTCAATCGTAAGGGAGCTAGCGGATAGCTGTTGTGCAATTCGTGTAGTTCTGCGGGATAGTCCAAGTCCACTTTAAGCACGTAGCCTTTGTTCGAATCTGGCACGATGCTATTCACTTCAGTCATCTCGGGCGAGGAGACCCATTCGTATTCCCCGATGGAGAGATACTGACTCATGGCCCAGTCGTACAGGTTGTTTGCATCGAGAGAGAGTATGTGTTTGGTCGGTTTGCCGGGGTCGTGACCAGGAACGTACTTGTTGTCGGCTTTTGCGTATCATTTGGAGGTCATGGAAATACTGCCTTGCCAGCCTTTCTCCACGAACAGGTGCATGTCGTAATCCGTCAGTAGTTTCAGCTCCACGCCGGTCTTTTTCCCAAGAGACACCGGGGGAGGAGAAATAACACGCAGGGTCCAGGCCGTACTGTTTCGAGCACGTTTTTCTGAACACCTCGAACACGTCGGCCAGCAGCAGCACGTCCGTATTCAAGTACAGGTCGTGGTAATCGCCCAAATTCTTGCAGCCCATTTTGTCTCACACGTTAATCGCGTGCGCGTCATCATCTGGGGTGATGGCCGTGTCGGTCAAGTTGCTGTAAAATTGGTCGCTGGGAGGTAATTGCGTCTCGTCGAACTTGGACCAATCGTCCATGTACTCGTAGGGGTAGACGCCCTTCCTCAGCAGCAGGGGTTGAGTCTCGCCGTCGGTGTATTGATTGGTGATGTCAATGTCATCCGGGTCGTTGGTGTTCACCAGACTGTCTAGAGACGACAGCAGGAACTGAACGCTATCGATAAATTTCAGACCGTCTAACGAGAATGAGATGTATTTTTCAATGTTGTTATGTTGTCGTCAACCTTCGTGACGGCCTGCATGATGAGGTGAGTATCGTAACCGTAAAGATTGTGAAACACGACAGGGATTTTGATGGCTTTGGGATCGATTTTGAGCTTCAAGTTGCACGCGTTGTGAGTGGCACCTCTGTACTTGCCGGTGACGTGGCAGTGATCTCTCACTACATCCCCGTTCAGGGGTTCGTCACACACATGGCAATTCTTAGCTTTCTTATGAGTTCGCTAGTCATCTTGGGTCATGCGCATGGGGATGATGGTGTACAACTGTTAACTGATGATTTTCTACCTCGGACGACGGGAGCGTTCGTTTCCCCGTCGCATCGAACGACAACACATAACTTTGTGTTGCAGGCTTTGTGTTCTTGCGTTTTATGCGTGAAACTCTTTTCAGGGGATGGCGCGACAGTGTCGACGGTTTTGATGAGGGCTTCGAAGTCGGCGTAGATGACGTAGGGCACAGGCATTTGATGTTTGTTGTTGAAGAATTTGAGCGTGTTTTACTTTTCGTCGGGCATGTCTATTCGGATGGCTGTCTCTCCCACGCCTCGGCAATCCTCCCGTAGGGATTCCAGCAGGTCGGCTCGCATGAAGCCGTGCAGGCACCTTTCGCAGAAGTGTTTCTTTTCCTTATGCTTCATTTGATCGTACAACAGTCTGTTGAAATATTTTATCCACGTTTAGTGATAATTGTTGCCTTGCTGGAACATGAATATATTGATCGTCTTGCGGTGTTCGTTTGTGAGGGAGCTGATCCTGTGCACGATCGTTTTATTCCCTTCATGTCCGAAGATATTGATGGCTATGTCGTCGTTCTGTTTTTCGATTTTGGTGACCTAGGAGATGGGGGTGGGTTCGTCTTTGCTGTACCAGTTGATCCCATCGTCTTCGAGATAGCTTGAAAGTCTGTCTGCGTTTCCTCCTCCTGTTGCGCATCCATGTTGTATATTATTATCATTATTATTTTCTTCTTCTTTAAATTGACAATGCTTTGCTGTGATGATCACCGGGGCCGAAAACATGCCGTATCTTTGGTACAGTATGCAGCTGACGGCGCTCAAAGCGTGGTCGAGGAATGGATCTTTCTCGAGATCTTCCCACAGGTAAAGTCGACGTTCCGTTGGAATGGGAAGGAAGTGTGACGCTACGCCGGTGTAGACCTGCGTTATGACAGACCCTATGGTTTTGTCATTTCGGCTCCAAGTCTGGCTTCGTATCTTGCGTACAGCTTGTCGATTTCTTCGGCTGGGATTTTGTGAATTTTATCGGGAGTGTTGTCGCCCCCATCCAAGTATTGTTTGGCTTTGCTGCTGACCGCAAGCGCCACCAGTCTCTCTCGCTTGTCGTTTTTATTATTATTATCATCATCCAACATTTGTTTGAGCAGTTTCGTCGTACTCCAATCTTATAATGTAAGAAACGAAATGAAATGCGATGTTCGCGAAACACATCGAGATGAAAGTCAAGTTGCACACAAAGATAGTTTTGAACATCCTTTTTGCTTGAGTTATGCTAGAATTTTGCTTTAAAGCTAGCAGACTTTATACACAATGGGTTGGTCAGTTTTCAACAGGAGTTTGGCGTGTTTCGTTTCGGCGAGCTGTTTCTTCACTCGTTCTCGTTCTTGTTTGTTGAGGATCACGTCGTTTTCTCGCAAGCAGTCCTCGAACGAATCCCTGTCCTTGCAGTGAAACAGGGCGACCCATCACGCCTGTTCCCGTAAATCTTTCAGCACCGAGTTGAATTTCTGCGTCAGAACCCAAACACTGTATGTGTCGGCCCGAGAAAGCCAGGTACGACAGTGCGTCTCGTTTTTAAACATCTCCTTGTTGGCGCTGCAGTCTTCCAGGATGAACAGCATTGATTCTCCTTTCAGCTTGTCGTGGTAAGAAGCGCGCAACCAGTCCTGCAGACGTATTCCAGGAACGATTTTGTGCACTTCCAGGTGTGTCATCGCCCACAGTCTCTCCTGCGGAATCGGGGGTGCTGATTTCTTTCAGGAAACGTCTGATCTGGTAGTACATGTGAAACGAAAATACAGACCAACTCAGCTGATCGTGACGAGTTTGTACATTTTTTAAGTGTTAAATATAGTTTACATATCTACCTTTTCAATATGTACATGACGCTTCCAGGTATAACGAGCGGCGAGTCCGTTCAACTGCTGCACGCGATCTATAACATGTCCGGTCAGCTCGAAGTCGCGCTCTGCGACATCACCTACTACCAACATGGACCAACATCAACGGCAGAAACAACAGGCTGTTCGTCAGTAACGTCCGCAAACAAATAACGGATGGCTATTTCAGCGTGTGCTCTCTCAACGAAGAAATCTTCAAACCCATGGGAGCCGAACTCAAAATGAACGACTCGAATGGCACGGTCAAGTTAGCCAACAACGGAAAAAACGACTTGAGACTCAGTTGGCCGTTGGCTAAAACGCTTGGGTTTACATTAAACGACATACCACCGGGAAACCACCGTGACCGGCACGAAATTACCCGATCTCGTTCCGTATCGCGAACTGTGCATTCATCTCGATCAGCTGAGCACGACCGACAATGTTCAAGGTGAACGACCTTCCACACGGAAAAGTACAACGATGGCAGAAGCGAATCGTTTTCGGTGCGGCAGTACAAGTAATTAATCCGAGGCAACATCACGGAATTGAAAATATCGTTTTAGACATTAAACACGATCCCGTAAGTATAGGATATCTCAGCGTGATGCTGCACATACGACAATGACGGAGTCTCAAGGTCCAGGAACACGCGTAAGAAAATGCGCCAACATAGCCATCTCCGACCTCGGGGACACGCACGGATTCGACGAACCCGGAGTCGACGGCAAACTGTATGCCTTGCAATTAAAAAAAAACTTATACAAATGCGTCGAACTGCCGCCCTTTACTGCCGCTGGTGGTGGTGGTAAGAACAACGACCTGGGGGATTTCGTCGATAGCAAAGGAGCGGTCAACAACACGCGATACGACCTGATCCGCAATGACGAGGACGAATGGATAATAACCCCAGCGTTCCGCAGCAGGCTGTTCCACCTGGACGACGTCGAGACCACGGCCGTCTCCAGAAACACGCAGTACACTGTTATCTTCAACGACAACAGCAAATTGGTATTAGTGCCATCCCAAATCGACTGGAATCTCAACATCACGCTCGACTCTCCCCACGTTTTCACGGACAACAAAGATCACTACCTGAGGAAAGTCATGAACAACAGAACGCTTCTAGTGGCTTACGTCCCTACGCAAAGACGCAACTTGATCGTCAGCACGTTGAGGCAAAGAGTAGCCAACAAGCTGTCGAGCAAACCCGGTATACAAAACGTGGGATTGCAGATGATGTCGGGAATTCGACAGCGTTGTAGACGTCCTCGAAAATCTGCCGGCGAAATCCACGCTGTACATCCAAGTCTAGCTCGACGAACTGCCGTCGATGCGTGACGTCGTCAAAATCGTGAAAGGGATCAAACTCCGCTGGGTCAAACAACAACAATACCAAGTTTGCTCCGTTTACGTGTGAGTGAACGTTAACGCCTACACCAGTATGCAGGATCACCGTGACCGTGGAAGACACGATATTGCTCACCAAAATGTTACTACTCAACAACATACATCTCATGGGTTTAAAGTGCACGTCCGAGGAATAATCCGATAACCAATTGAAAACCATTTCATAATACATTATATACAAACGAGATGAACCATCATCATCCCAACGTCACGCTAGCCGATCTCGGGGACACACGAGGATTCAAGGAAAACGCCTTGTACGCCATGCGCTTACAAGATAACGTGTACAAACGACGAGAAGTCATCATCGATCTCAGTTGAACTGGATTATTAACCTGGTCCTGACCTACCCCTATCTTATCATGGCTAACATGTTAGTCCCCAATGAGAAAAAGAAGCGTTATTTGTACTAAAATATACTGATGTGCCAGACTTGTGGATCAGTATGATAAAAGGTTCTACTCTTATTATCGAAGTATTCCTTGGAGATGCCCCCGGAGTAGATATAAACTTTCTGCATGGGTTAAAAGTACGCTGGCATGATCGCCATCAACAAAAACGTTGTCGTATTTGTATACAACCAGGAAGAACCCCCACCTCAAACCTACATATTATGATATTTCAAAAGGATTTGATTGAACTCCAGACCATTTATATACAGTCGTGTCCCGGTTATCCGAACCTCAGATATCCGGAAAACTCGCCTTCCAAACGAAAATTCATTAAAACGAATTCACAACGTTGTAAAACTACTCACTTAACCGGAAATCCGGTTTCCGTAAACGGACGGTCATTTTCACATACCAAATGCTAAATCATATGCATTTTTCACTCGTATATCCGGATGGCTGAGCACCTGTCAGTATGTTTACACGCGCATTTTACCGAGTGGGCTTGCGTGCCCTGTATACAAAAACTTGTACCTCATCAGCTTAAAGTATATTCATCAAACATTGACCGAGGACCAATAAATACTATTTTATAAAAAGAGAATATATACAGAATGGGACTGTACCCGGTCGTGGATGAAGTGGTGGAAACACTGGAAACTGTAGACGGGTTTCGTTTGCGACAGATATGCGAGATCAAACAACAACTAGAACGTGAACGCGACATGCGGTAGGCATTACAGAAAAAATATGACAGGGCCGTCAATTCCGTGGACGATGTTGACAGCGCTTTGATTTCAGTCAGCATGGGATTAGGCATAGCAGGTGTCGGGTTATTATCCACCATCGTGGCCGCACCCGTGGTTCTAGGCATCAAAATAACAGCCGGAGTGACAGGGTTGATGGGACTGGCGCTTAAGTATGTGTCTCACAGACTGCAACGTAAAGCATTAAAACACGACGAAATTAGAATTCTAGCCGAAGCTAAACACAATAGACGATCATATTTCCACCGTGCTCACCGACTTTAAAATCTCTGAGGAAGAGTTTCGTTTGGTGCTATCAGAAATCGCAAAATATCACAGAATGAAACAAGCGATTCGGATCAAGTCTCGTAAAAACGCCGTCATTTGCGAACATGAGAAATATTTTTTCATAGAACAAGGGAAGCAACAGGCCCAACAAGCCTGCATTACGAAAACCAAACAAATCATAGGAGATTCACAATAAACTGTTTTGCGGACATCAACATAACGTAGCCAGCCATCTCAGCGAGCTGTTGGTAAATAGCCGCGCCGAGACACACATACTGCGACTCGCCCACAGCAGCTCGCTCAATGCTACCGAGACGGCAGCGAGTCGACCCAGGGGAACTGCCGTGAGATGCGGTATGATTTAGTGGAAATCAACATAACATTGCCAGCCAGCCAGCCAGTCAGCTGCAGAAGCCGAGCCGAGCCACACACTGCGACTCGCCCACAGCCCTCGCTCGGTGATACCGAGACG